GGCCGGGTGTGAGCCCGCATGCACGAGCAGTGTTAGTGCATGCTGCTCCGAGAGGATTTATGGGCAGTGAGGAAGCATTTCACAGGGCACTACAGGGGGGAGTGTGAGTATTCACAGGGGGAACCCATGGGCTGCTGTGTGCTGCCCAGTCACATCCCTGGGTCCTGTGCTTGAGCATCACTGCCTGCCCTCACCCGGCACCTTCCCAGGAATCCCTGCAAGCCTTAACCACACGGCTCCTTCCCAAAGGAAAACAGCACAAACACAGCTGAACAATTCTGCTAAGTTGCCTGAATCCAGATCTAGATTACATTAAAAACCAGAAACAAAAGAGATGATTTTTACCATCTAATGCTTTGGTTGAAGGCAAAATCTCTCCACAAAAAGACACACAGCCAGAGAGCCTGGTCCAGATGAGCTCTCAGTCTGTCCATACAGCAGGAGCAGGTATCCAGAGGAAAACTAGGAAGAGAATGACTGTGTCTGAGCTGTGAGAGCCTGACCCAGCACCCAACCAGCCTGGGAAGCCAAGTGAAACACAGGCAGCAAACAGCAAGAGACAACACCAGCTCCAGCAGCCTTCTGTGTCCAAACAGGGAGGATGGTGCCGGTCAAAGACAAACAGTTGGAACAGCAGTTCTGGTTGGGACAATGCTCCTTGCGATCAACAGCTCAATGCCAGGAGTGCAGGATGGCCAGAAGGAGCCTGGGCAGCCCCTTGCTGCCTTCATGTACCTGCATTTCCATGCAGTGAGGAGAGGCAAAGCCAAGTTTGTCTGTTGCTCTTGAGAAAAGGCAACATCTCTCTCAGTATAGTTGGTGCTTTGACGATAAGACCTTTGGCAGAAACATGAATGCCATGAATACTTTGATCTCTAGTCTCAGAAGCTTCAACAGCAATTATGAGTCAAGAGGGGTGAATACGGGCAGCAGCTAAAGCAATGCCCCGGAGGGTACTGATGCAGTAATTAGAGACAAAACCCAGAGCATCTCTGCCTGCACCATGCACAAGAACCAAGGAGGAGGTGGGCTGGGGGGAGGCTTCATGTTAAAAAAACAACTCTTATTCTTCTGAGAGACATAAAATCAACATGACTTTATACATTTCAAAGCCAAGATCTTCAAAGACAGGTAAAATGCTAATTCTGCTAATGTAGGGTTTTATGCATATGCTCTGAAAAGGTAAAGCAAATTAATCACCAGCTTTACCCCCTAATATATATCTGTGTTACAAATATATTACAGCATGTCAGATCTGAGGAGATATATCTGAACAGCGGTGGTTAAAAGAGCATTTCCCTTTTCATGCTCTAATACAGTTATTTTGATCTTTCAGTCTTCATATTTTTTGTTCTCATCAAAGGAATGATGGTGCCAGAGATTAGGATGTTATTTATTTCCCTCTCACTGTCCTACCCATGTTAATCACTTCTGGTGTCAACAGCAGCAGCGGTGCCGGCAGTGCCCGCCTGAGGCTGGTCTTGCCTCTACCCTCCTCCTGCCTCCAGCATCCCTTGGGGTCACCTCCAAAACCACCCCGACCTTCATGGAAATGCTATGCAAATGGAGGGCAGGGAGGGGATGGGGATGCCTGTGGAGCAGAGGGATGGTGACAGGAAGGCACAGCCCTATCCCTGGCTCAGCCTTCTGCATCCCAGAGGTGGCTGTGGAAAGCATCAGGAGAACAAAACGCGGAGGGCATGGCAGCAGGGCGTTAGGGACTGCCAGACATCCCTGCTCCAAATTATGCACAGCCTGACGGGACATGGGAAAGAGAGGACACAAAGAGGGAAGGAGGCACAGGGACAAGGGATCTGGGTGTCCCACGTTCCAAGGTTGATTTCAGACACCTCCCAGGGAATTTGCACCTGTATTTCCATGGCACATCTCTGTTCTGCCTGACCTCACCCCTCTAACAGGAGCACATTCCAGGTTTGGGCACACACGGAAACGCCTCCCCACCACATTACAGGCTTGGCTTCAGGAACATGCATTGTCTCCAGGCACTGCAGCAACTTTTTCCCCCCAGGTTCTCCATGCAGAGACCCCAGGAATTAAACTCCTGGCTCCAAGAGACCCAGGGACCCAGGGCTCCAGGCCGGAGCCCAGCATGACTCCCTACCCGAAACCAAACACTGTGAGGGGCAGACAAAGGTGGGAAAGGGGTGCGGGATGCAGCCGAGAGCTCAGCTCCATGCTTTGATCCCACTGGGGAAGCTGCTCAGCCGAAACACCCATCCTACAGCCCTGGAGATTAATGATCCTGGCTCCTCTACATTCAATTACACCGCGGTCAGGACAGGCAGGGCCCAGAAGAGTTTAGGATGTCTTGGGAAGTGCTGAAATTTGCTCTGGGAAAACAACTCGGAGAGCCTGATAGCATACATGTGCTCATGACACAAGAGCATCACTCCTACCCTGTAGTTAGCATTGGTCCCACTGCGCCAGAGTCCCCAGGTACCACCACAGCCAGTGGTTTGGGCACACAGTGGCTCCAGTTTGAGCTGTGTCAGTTCACCCCTGGCTGTTAAGGCTGCCTTATCCCAAAGGGTTTTGCTCTCAGAGAGCAGATCCATGTGGAGTTTGCCCCTGGAGCCAGGGCTGCAGGATGGTAACTGCTGGCAACACAAAGCACCATGAAAGATCCCAGAGGTTAAAGCCCAAGCCAGATAGCTGTTGGCCACATTTGCAACTAGCTGAGATGAACAGAGGAACCTGTTATGAGAGGAAGATGGGGATAAGTGGGTACCTCCAGAATTCTTTGCAGAGATTAAGTGAGCAGGGGCACTTTGGGCATAACTAATCCTTGAGAGCCACGGAGCAGGAGCAGACTGCAGGAGCTAATGTCTTTGAGATAGGTTAAACCAGTGACATTGCCCACCATCAGCACCGTGTTCCTTGCCTTGAAATTGCTGACACTTACAGGTTTGATGGTAACTAGACTGCATAGGGGCACCTTTGCTTTCACATCAGATCTGCTGACATGAACAAGAGTCGATTCAGATGGGCATCCAAACATTAAAGTCCTTCCCTATTTCCATAAAATGATTGGCAGGATGCCTACTGCTAGCGGCTGGTAGCGCTGCTGATAAATGGCATCTTGATAAAAACTTTGGGCTGTTTTAAGAGAGAGGGGGAAAAAAAAGCAGCATACTCTTATTGTAATTCCCTCAGCTGCTGACAGATGAGATGTCTCATCTCGAAAAATTAGATCCTGGTATCTTTGCTGTCTGTAGATAGAGAAGACAGGATCCAGAGGCTGGGATGGGAGTATGGTGTGCCCTGCTCTTCCACTCCCCTCCTGTGTACTCCCTGCAGTGTGCATCTCCCCCTTTCCTTGGCATTGAAAACATACACCTGGGTATTCAGCAGAAAGTACCTAAAATATGGTGAAGGTTATCCCTAGGAAATGAAATAGGGGTTTTCCTTTCCTGGTCTTGAACTCCTGAAGCTTTCCAAGGAGTCCTGCAGGTAAAATCCGCTGGAGCAGCTGAAATCCAGGGTCATTTCTGAGACACAGAGACCCGACCCATGGAACCAGCTCCTTCTGCAACTTAAATGTTAACAAATGCATAAATCTTAGGGAGGAGAAAAGGAACTTCACAGATCACTTATTGCTGATTCCCAGCTAATCCATCAGTATGGAGAAATGCACGTAAAAGAGAGGGGGGAAAAAAGCTCATTTTAAGCCCTAATAATATTATTACTCAGTTTTTGTAGTTTTTATAAGCACTTAATTCTAGGTATTTTTCTTAACTTCAGGTTTAAAAATGGCTTTTAAAATGAATCTGAATGTTATAATGGGAACTTTTCACCTCCCGAGATCAATTGTCTCTTTCTCTCCTACCTTTGCATTTCAAGTCATGCAAAACCCCATGAGCTGGGAGGCCCTGCTATAGTCTCTCTGGCACTGCAGGCACTCTACGCACACTGTGGACCCAGATCTCACCTAAAAACAGATGCAGAGCAGGTAACACCTATTGCCATTTATTACCATTTATTACACCCTCTGGTGTATGAGGAATGAAGCTGCACAGGACGATGCCAGGGTGGGGAAAGCTCCTCCTGCTCCACTGCTGGGACCAGCCAAGCAATGGCACATCAGTCCTCACCCACCACAGCCATACCTCCCATCCTTCGCAGGACACCCACAATGACACAACGAAGAGCAAGAGCTCGATCAGGACTGAAGAGGGAACAGTCAAGGTTTCTGGAGGATATCCCATTCTCCTGGAATTTGCTTTAAAATTCCTTAAATAGCTTTGAAAATCTCAACAACAATAAACGGAGACTGACAGAACTCACTCTGCCTCCATGGTATCACCAACTTCCTTTTCTTATATAAAAGTCATCTAATCACTCGTGATGCACCAAAGGATAACACAAAGGGTCCACAAACATTCCCTGCCCGTCCAACAGCCACAGACAAGGACAACACAGTAAAGCCTCCAAGAATCAGTTTGTTGCTGCTCAGAACAACCTGGGTGCCTACAGACAGTAACGAACCAGCAGCAGAGCTCCCTTCAACCACGCTGTGATTTATGGAGCTGCTGCCCCCCCTTCTCCTTCCTGCCTCAGTGCCGCCTCCAGATGTGCTGCCAGCTGTGCGACACCAGCACTGAGACCGAGCTGAGACATCTGACTGCCAAGCAAGCAGCTCTGCACTCTTCCCAGCAGTGGTGCAGGAGCCCAGCCTTGGCCTGCACCCAACAAAGCAGTGCCTGGTACCTGGCACTGCCCACGCTGGCAGAGCAGCACCAGTTTGTAACCACAGCTCAGAGACACACATCATCAGGGAGACACCATGATACAGGCACTGAGTGCCTCCAGAACCAAGGCACGGCAAACCAGACCAACCAGAGTCTCCAGGCTACTCAAGGAGAGCGTTAACATGGTCTCCATCCATTTCTGCTTGCTGCTGGAGACTGCTCAGGGTTCCTGAGCTTGGCTGTCCATAAGTAACACCATAATAACGCAATCAACAGCGGTGACATCCCTACCTTGATTCCTGTCATGGTCCACTGGAAGTTGCTTTGAGAGCCAGGGCTTCAAACCCGCTTCACCATCGGGTGATCTGACATCGTGGAGAATTTACTGTGGAAACAAGAAACCCCACAAGTGTGAAATGTGACTGTCGATAGAGTAATCCCCAGCAATCAGACCAAATTAATTGTGTGAACATCATTGATCAAACCTCCTTAATACATTGGGTTTGTAGAAAGCTGGAATGTAATTTCATTACCAATCTGCTCCATCCTAATGAAATCTCTAATAATACTCTACTTTTGATTTCGGGTAAGAAGAGCATGATGGAAATTTTCTTTTGCCTCTCCTGTAAGGTTTGATTTTAGTGGTTTGCTGCAATAGGAGGGATACTCATTATTTTTGGTAATCTGACATTTTATTAGCAGGGGGTTGAATATAACAACGCAGATAAAAACCCGAAATTAGCAACGAGACAAACCCTCCACAAACAGAATTGATGTCGAAATTAAGGGGGCTAATGTTAAAAGAAATGGATTTATTTCAGGAGGGGTGAGTTAGGCTTTACTTTTGTGAAGTTCTAGCTGATTTTCTGACCTAAAGTGATTTAAATAAGCCAAGTTTGCAGCTCTTTTTGTCTGTAGTTCTCACAGAACAATGCTGGAGGAGTTCAGCTGCATGCGAGAGGCATCAACATGCCCACATCTGTAATGGGTAGATTAGGGTGAGAAGACCCCAGCCCTACCCACGTCGGTGGCAAGGCCATAACCAAGATTTCCCCCTTTGAGTCAGGTTTCAAAGGAGACCATTCAGCCTTTCAGAGTCCCTTGTGTGGGTGCAAAGAGAAGGGTTAGAGGTTAATCCAATTGGGAGTGACGGAGCATCAGGTAGATAACTAAATGGGGGTGGTTGGGATTTGCATGAGTGGGGTGCTCCATGCACCCAGACGCAGTCTGTGCTATCTGGGACTCCCATCCCTGGATGAAGAGGTACAGATGGGTCTCAGCACTGCCCCAGCATTCCCAATCTCCCCCTGCTCTGTTTCCAGCAGAAAAGCTCCTGGATTACAACAGAGAAAATACAAGTATTACAAAAGAGGACCAGAAGGAATCAAACAGATAGACCTAAGTCTTCAAGCTGCAATCCACCCCCCCAGGGATGCTGGGGTCACACATCCTGTGAGACTGGAGCCTCTGCAAAATGCATTCACTGAGAGCAGGGGAAAAGCTTGGAAAAATCAACTATTTTGTTGCTTTTTCTACTACTGAGTACTGAAAATGAGCAGCGCTTGTCTGCAGCACGCATGAGAGGGCAAACCCTGCTCTCAGAGCACCTGGGAACTACTGATGGCTCGCCTGGCAACGTGTCTGGTGAACAGAAATCGCCTCTCCCTGGCCAGGGTCCACACGTGGTGGGATCTGCATTTAAACCCAGAGGATGTGCAGGATGCAGGCTGGTGGTTTGCAGGGTTTTGGGGCCTCTGCATGATGGGACGGGACGTGATGAGCAGACAAGGGAGCACAGAGCACGCGTGCTTGCTGCGGAAAGGTGATGCTCTTTGACTACTGAACTGGTGCCTATCTCTGGTATTTCCATTTTCAGCAATCTGATGTGATTTGGTGATTTATTCATGACTGGTGTAGTGAAAAATTGGAAAAGGCTAGCGGGATAGCCATGGCCTGGAGATCCAGCGTCTGATTGAGCCTACAAGTGAATTACTGTCAGAGGCATCATGCAAGGCTTACTCCAGCGAATGTGAAGTTGAATCTTTATATTAATAAGTGAACATGCACTATCAGAGAGACTGGCATATGTCTGCTGCCAGGCAGGTCTGGAAAGGAGCTGTCAGATCAATAGGCAACCTGAGCAGACAAAGAGAAGCTCCAGTGCCCTCTTCACACATTAGAGGTGTCTGCAGGTGTTCACCAGAGCCATACAGGGGGAGACTTTACTCATGCACAGGACAGCTGAAAAGGCTACTGCAGGCAAAGCTGTCTCGTCTTTAACACAGTGCTAAAGTGACAGCATACAGGGGAGGTTTGGCTTTCGTTCCATTACTGAAGCACATGTGAAAATCAGGCCCTCATTCAGGTTACGCCCCTAAAGCATGCATGCAAACACTGCACATCAAACCCCAGTGCAACCAGAAACACCATTTCAAAGTAACACCCCCTGAGCAGCATAACTCAGGGAGATACCTTTAACACAGCCAAACCCAGGCAGCCCAAACCTACAGCAAAGGGTAGTTTCTTTGCCCTGTTTCCAAAAAGCAAAGGGAAAACGTCCTACTCAGTGCTGATTCCACCCGTGTGAGCTGCCCTCCCCTGCAGCCTCAGGCCTGGTCCCCTTCTAAGCTGCCCCAGGCTGATTTTCACATCAAGTATAAGAAACCAGTTTCCATTTGGCTTCCAACCTGCTGTAAAAGGGAGGTGAGGAAATGTCCCTTTGCACAAGGCTCCTCTCTGAATTGGAACTTTGGGGGAAACAAAAAACAGCAATTACTCCAAAGAGAGTAAAAGAACAGGGGGTGAAAGGCAGCAGCAGAGGAGGAAGGGAAGGCTGTGGTAGGGCAGCATCGCGCAGCTCCTCATAATTACTGTTTCAGTTCCACATCCAGCTTCCCACCTAATTACTGCCCTGTGGTTGGTGTGCACAGGCTCCAGAAGCAGCAGGGTCTCTATTTCCCTCAGCTCCTCATTACCAACCCCTCACTTTGGGCCCATTACACAGCCCCGGCCCTGCGGACCCCACAGTGGCACCCCCAAACCTGCTTGCCTGAAGCAGGCAGAGGGTCTCATCCCTTATTAGAGAGAGGGCAATGAGAATGGACCCCCCAAACACGCACTATGGGCACCTCAGGGCTCTCACAAAAGGGGTTTCTCCATCCCCGCTCACTCTGGACTGCTGCTATGAAAGGATCTCTAGTGGAAGGTGTCCCTGGTGCTGGCAGGGACTTGGAACTGGATGAGCTTTAAGTTCCCTTCCAACCCAACCCATTCCATATTGATCTCCCCAGGTTTCATATGGAAAGAACCACCACACTTAAATCTGGTCCATGATTCCTACGTTATGGGAATGCCTCAGACCGGAAAGCTGAGAGCTGACTTTTGGTGTTTGAACACTCAATTTCTTAGTAACCAGGTTTAATCCATCCGAGGTTCTGCACCAGGTCTCCTCTGAACCAGGCTGTGCTCGAAGCCGTGGTGGCAAAGCTCAACTGTGTGAGCATCTCCTGCCATCTCTGAGCAAAAGCCTCCAGTGAAGGCAAACCAAGGTTGACCATGGGTTCCCATTCTGTTTTGGGATTATAATCCTTCTCCTGCTTTCTCTGCACTTTGCTAATCATTAAACCACTGCTGTCCTTGGCGAGAAGCAGAAAATGGGCCTTCTTCTACCAGGAAAGCAGGAGAGCTGATTTCCTTATAATTCATGGCTCGAGCAAAGTTGCAGAGCAGCAACCAAGTATGCAGGGAAGGTTGGGGTGAAAAATTAGTTACAAAGTGAATGCCCTGAAGACACTTGTACTGGACAACAATTACAGCACCTTAATTAACTGAAATTTAGTTCACCCGTCGACTGAGGCATGTCCAGTGCTCCAGTTATGCCGCTGCTGCTGTCTACTACTGGTTAATGAATATAAATCAGATGGTTTATAGTTAGTGAACATGTAATAGGCTTGCAATGAGTTGAATTCCAATGCAAAATGCCTGGGGATAGGAACATGCCATCCATAAAACATATATAAATAACAGATTTACATTTCTACAAGGGAAAAACCAAAGCTGTCCTCCCATCTTGGTATTCTCCCAGCTTGACAGACCTGGGCTCCAGTTCCCTGCTGAGCCAAGGGGTCGGTAAGAAGGGATTTAACAGCCTGGTCACCCAAAGTGTGGCTAAATCAGATGCCAAAACTCTTCCATGTACTCCATGTTTCCTTCCCAGCCACTGAGCCCTGTCCCATAGGTTCACCACGTGCCCATTCCGTGCTGCTTGGGAGCAGAGCCCGAGGGGCAGGAGCACTGAAGGTGACTCCTGAAGGTGCAGAGCACAGGGTGCAGCTCCCAGGGCCTGAACTAGAGGCAAGAGAGGCCTTGGCTGGGGTTTGGCTCAAAGCCCTTCTGTAACTCAGGCACAGGCACAGGTTGCAAGCAAGTGAATATCCCCAAGTTTCTCACATGAAAACTAACCTTCACTTTATGCCTGGCTGCAGTGGTCAGGCCTGGCCAAAGAGCTCTTGCAGCTGGGTAAGGCTTTGCATCATCCAAGATGTTCAGTTCCAGGCCAGGGATGAAAGACTAGATTTTTGGGGTGCACTGCAAAGGAGCATCTCATCCCCCTGCCTACAAGACGATGCGCTCACATCACCAGGCTCATGGGGAGGTGCTGGCCAGGGGTCTCAGGGAGGTAGGAATGGCCATGGAAAAGAGACCCAATGTCAACCCCCCCCTGGTCTCAGCTCTTTACTTTTCCTTGCTGCAGAAGCAGAAATCTGTGGACTTCATTTATTGCACAAATTAGGTACAAGAGAATTATTTTCTTAATGTGCGCCTTGATGAATGTTCTCAGCTCTCCACCCCACCAGGAAGAGGGGCTTGCAATGAAAATTATTTACAAAGCATGTGCTACCCTGCAGGGATATTTATTCAGGCAGGGGATGCTGCCACCGATTTTGTTGACAAAGGCAAATCAAATTACATTTTGGGGAACATTACAAGCAGCATCTTGATTTGCTATGGACATCAGCTGCCTCCTGCCAGAGCCTGGGAAGCAGCTCTGCAACAGCACCCTCCAGCTACCTGCAAAGGTGGTCATTAGTATTAGGAGGTGGATAAAATGCTCTGCAAGCTGTTCCTGCACTTCTAAATACTGATTTGAGGAGTTTATTCCTTTCAAATGTAGACAAACAAATCCAGCACCCAGATTACAGAAAGGTGATGACTGCAGGAGCAAGGTCCCAGGAGACCCTGCAAGACCCCCACTTGGGTGCTTGCACCCCTGGCCAGGCTCCTCCATAGAGCCCCAGCAGAGCAGCAAACGGCAGGGCCAGAGCCTTGCCCCTGCAGGGCTCAAACAAGCCCTGCATGCACTGAAACTGCACATGCAGGTGTATG